GTGCATGAATGGACGCACACAAACGTTTGCCTTTACCTGCGTGTTTGCCACCAGGTGGTGCTGACAGCGTTCCAACAGGAGAAGGAAGTGAAGCTGAAAAGCTCTCCGGCTGATCTGGTGACAGAAACGGACCAACGGGTTGAGATGATCCTCTTGTCTGCCATCAGGAGCCAGTATCCTCAGCACAGGTTCTATTGAGTTCTACTGTCACAGCTGTCTTTGCTTCATTGTGTCAGTCGACTAATTAACCCAGCATGAACTCTGGGGAGTGAGCCGTTACACTAACTGGATTCAGATTGGACGCCCAGGTTGTAAACTGTCTTAAAGTCTGCCTAGTGACAGCGGGCAGGAAGCTAGCAGGTAGATGATATTACACCTGTGACCGCAGGTTCATCGGGGAGGAGTCTGTGGCTGCCGGCGAGCGTGTAGAGCTGACCGATCGCCCCACCTGGATCATTGACCCCATTGATGGGACCGTGAACTTTGTCCACAGGTGAGTGGCTCCACCCACATCATGAGCTCGCACACACACGGTGTCCCCAGTTCAAAACCCCACAAAGGTTTGAGACCCTGAAAACATGAAGTCTTAGGACGTCGTTGCCCTCGGAGAACGCGAGGTCACAGGTTAGAGCAGCCCAAGCCCCCCCTTTACTTTAAACTCTTACACCCCCACTTCGGGAAGCTCTGCGCTGACAGATCCTTCGCCGTCTTTCATCAGGTTCCCATTTGTTGCCATCTCCATCGCCTTCACGGTCAACAAGCAGGTAGGCTGAGCCGTCAGTCTCAGGGGTCAGGGGTCGGGGGTCAGAGTGGCGACTGACTCGTGCTGCTGTTCTCAGACGGAGTTCGGGATCGTGTACAGCTGTGTCGATGACAAACTGTTCCACGCTCAAAGAGGAAGAGGAGCGTTCCTGAACGGAGAGCCGCTGCACGTCTCTGGACAGGAAGGTGACATCACACAGGACGTCATGCTTGTGTGGCGTGCATTTAAGGTGGCTTCACTCTGACCTTTGTCTCAATCAGATATCAGCCAGTGTGTGGTGGTGACAGAGATTGGGGCAGAGCGTGACGACCTTGCGTTGTGCACCGTGACCTCCAACATCTTCAGACTGCTGAAGCTTCCTGTGCACGGGTAAGGCCCCGCCCCCCTGGCCCTGCGTTTTGAGCACGCTCAGTGTACCTGCATTGACTCTGAGGTTTGAATCCTGATTTTGTTTCAAACTTTATTTATACAGCACAGCAATGACATTAAGAACAAAATCAGGATTCAGAGTGCTTCACTGATTGGTTCCATCAGAGCAGCTCAAAGTGCAGCAATAGCTGAGAGGTCAGAGGTCGTGTGGTTGGTGTGGTGTTCAGGTCCGACCGACCTTCAACCCCTGTGGGCTTCACACCCAAAGCTTTCCTAAAAGATGTGAAGGTCACATGACCTCTGACCTGTTGGCACACATGTACTGACCTACTTACCTCTTTGAGCCTGGAAGAGACCAAAGCTCTTTCTGCATTTTGAACTTTGACCTTTACGTCTCTTTAAACGTTGGCGACACACTTTCTTTTTCTTTGTGTTGATGTGTTGTTGCTTGCGTGTTTCAGAGTGCGTGCACTGGGCACAGCAGCGGTTGACATGTGTCAGGTGGCGACGGGCGGTGCCGACGCCTACTATCACATCGGGATGCACTGCTGGGACATCGCCGCCTCCGCCATCATTGTCCGGGAAGCTGGAGGCGTTGTCAGAGACACCGACGGTCTGTATCTGCCGCATGATGTCGCGTCACCTTTTAGCTGCGAGGCGTTGTCTAATTGGTCCGTGTGTCCTCAGGCTCAGAGTTTGACATGATGTCCCGAAGAGTCATCGCCGCCAGCTCCGCCGCCGTAGCCAGTCGCATCGCTCAGGTGATCCGGCCGTTCCCCTGTAGCCGTGACGATGATGACCAACACAGGTGTGTGTGTGGGGCGACCGGTGTGAACAGACTGTAGGTCAGCTGACAGGAAGTGTGCTGCTGCAGTGATTAGTGACACTTCTGTGATCAATGAACCAATAAAAATCTGCGTGCAAACGTTCCTGTTTCTGATTGGTGAGCTTCAACCTCCTGAACACATGACTGATTTAAACAAGTGTGAGCTCTCATGACCATGGTGATGTCAGACTTGATCAGGCCGATCATCAGACTGAAGGCGGAGCTTA